TTCATTAAATTATCTCAACGTTATCAGCTAAAATCAATATACCTTTACAGTGAACAGTGACAGATCTGGGATACAGGGACAAGGATGAACAGCGTATGCTCAGAGCTCAGAGAAGTATGAAAGAAAAGCGCAGGGTAGTTGAGCAGCATTCACCTGAGACAGCTGGATATAATAAGAGGTTAGGAGATTAGTGAAGAGTTAGGAGATTAGAAAGTAGGTCCTGCAACACATGATGGTCAGCAAGTAGGCATATGTTGTATCTTCTACATATAACTCCTATTTAGGTGAATATGGTGGATGCTCAACTCATAAGAGGTGACTTACTGTAGCAAAATGTTAGAGAATCCAGGTTTTTACATGTAGAGGAATACTACGGTTTCTGATGTAATAAATCTAACAGAGGAGACAGCAAACCCTGGAAAAGAGGCAGGCTTATCCCCTCCAGGTGCTGCTCTATGGCCAGCTTGTGGTTTGTCTCCAGTCGTCTCCTGGCTCAGCAGGCACCACATCCACCATTACCAATTGATGGGATCAATTCCTGCTCCCTTGTTGCAGCTCCGCTGGAGGTGAGAAAATCCTGCCAAGCTACAGGGATGCTTGTGGCTAAACACATGATCCTGGGAAGCTTTATATCACAGAGCTCTTTAAGGTTACTGGCAGGGATCAACTTTGCAATTCATCTTTGGGGACATCTTCAAGAGTCTCTTCTCATGATGTATCTGAAGGAATTTCTGTGATAGCAGAAACTCTATAAACCTATGATTAAGGCAGTAGTGAGGGGAGTTAGTGCACCTAATCAAAATTGGACTCAAAAGGTACAGCAGGAAACAAGATTAGGTGATAAATCACTTTATATTGCAAATTTTCAAAAAAGAAAAGAAAGAAAGGAGGAAAAATTCAATAAAATGGTCCATCTCAAGCAAACAGGAGTAATAGTCCAAGAAATGGCTGTATCCAAATTGTGTAAGTCAAACAAGGGCATAAATCTGAGAAGTTAAGGTAAATAAATGTGAATAAAAGTACATAAGATTTTTAAATTAAATCAGAAAATCATGTGTTTAATTCTAAAGGGAACCGTGTATGCCAGAATATTGAGTTATACATTGCTTTATTGAAGAGTAGGTCAAGATCTTATCAGCTCTGTTATGAGGAATGTCAATAAAAGGCTGTGCAATGATAAAATGTTTAATTAAAAATGAACATTGTGCAACATATGAACTCTTTGTATTATACAGTAAAAGGAGTCAAATGTATTATGTTCTCCCAGTTACAAATTGCACTGAATCATTTTCGCTCCATCAAACATTCTTATCACTATCAATTTTGTATAAAAGTAGATTTATTTATATTGGTTCCTTTACAAATTACTTTAAGATTATCTACCTCCAGGGTTCTTCAAATACTTTGAAAATCTAGAACAACTGTGATGAGAACACTAGGGTCTTGTTTTCTTGGTACTCTTCCAGTTGATCTAGTGGTATGCTTTGGCGAGTTAATTAACAAAGCAAAAGCTTAATCCTGATTCAGTGTGTTGATCAAAAAGTAACAGGAACTAGCAAGATTAAATATTTTGGTTTACTACTTATATCATATACATGCATACAACATCAGCACCCTAAAGATGTCTAACAAATCAGTAGAGAAGGTAACAAACTCTGAAACCAGGAAGAGCACACAGAATTAAATGAGGCAATACTCGGGGTAGACAGACATCATGTGTCCTCCCTGATTAAAATAATCTTACCTCCCCACCCCCTCTGCAACGCTAACCATCTTAAACAGGAGGAATTGCCAATGCAAAGATACTTATCTATGGAGATGTCTCAGCAAGGGATTTCAAGATGGGAAGTATGTCTTTTACACAGTTTTAAAGGAATGAAGCAAAATGCAGGGAGCATAAAATGGTAAATTAGCACCATAGGACTAGGCAATAAATGTCTTAATACATTCCTGGCCTTCCCTCCTGGCATAACTTTGTATAAGAAAGCATAACAAGAACATTCTTATTTTGGGCTGAACATGTAAAGAGAAGATTTTTTAAATATCTCTACCACTCAGCTTCAAGCCCCCAACATAAACAGAGATACACATACACTGCACAAACTTTTTATGGCTATAATTCTAAAGACTCAGCCTGAACTGGGAGGGGTTTTTAATGAAACATATTGTAAGTTTCCTAAAATAAGGTCCACCACTAGAATGGAACTTCCAATAGGAGCTTATGAATGACCTTAATGAACCTGAGATACTGAAACAGAGAAATCAAATAAAATATCAGATGAGAGCATACTCAGCATTTTTCGTCTGTCCCTTTTCCCCAAAGCAATTAATACTTGCATTAAGAAAATGTCCCAGAGTCAGAAAAAGCTTTGATGTCACATTCATGCTTTTGACAATCAAAATTTAGCTTTATATGTCACAGACCAATTTTAATAAACTCTTATGCTTGCCCTATACAATTAGTGGAATATAGTAAGCAAAGAGCAGTTAAACAGTAAATAGGCTCATAGGAAAGAAAAATTATGTACAAAGAATTCCGATGCCCTTTAGCATAAGTTTTTCTAAGTTATAAATGACCTCTGGGCAATACATTCTCCAACCACAGGGGCGTGAAAAAGTCTATTTTACTAAAGCACAAATAATACTTAAGAACAACTTATCACCCATGGACAAAAAATATGTTTATTACATCAAAACAGTTGGTAAAGGAAAATCCAAAATGTGCTCAAGGAAAGAGTTTGAGATCATAGAAACTGGCGATATTAAAGAGCTATTAAGTGATCTAGTCTTTCCTCTCAGAGTTAAGCCTTATTTCTTGCAGCCCGTTTTATAGCCTTCAACAAGCAGAATAGTTTTATATTGTTTCTTACCTGTAGGATTGCCACCCCATCCCTTGGGAAATTATTCTGAAGTCCTTTCTCTCTTTTTATCAGATAGTATTTCCTGAGAGTCAGTCTATAATTACCCCTAACAATACCGTCATATTTAAGGATAGAAAAATATAGGTATAGAAATATGTTTTTCTTTGAGCATAGGATCCCTCAAATCAAGTACAAATAAACTTCAATAAGAGAGAATTATTACCTAAGAAGCAGATTTGGTAGTAATATTAAAAACTAAGTCCTCAGAGGAGGTCTAGGGAGAGGCATGAATAGAACAAATTCTTCACCAGGAGCCAGCAGAGATTCCCAGGGTCACGGCCTCGCTGAAGTTAAGAGAAAAACTCCTACTGATTTCAATGGGGCCACAATAGCATCCCCATATTTTATTCATAGTATATCATCACAAATGGAAACTACAAATGAAGCATCATGAGGCGATGTGCCTATAATTCGTAATGTTTTCTTCCATCGTAATAGCCAAGACCTCTCCCTGAACTCCAACGGAGGCAAATTAGTTCCACATGTCAGATACCAACCATAATATTTTCCCTTACACTTGGTACACAATGAGGAGATGCAGTACAGCACAGAGCAATTAATACATTTCTTTTTGTGAAATAACGCATGACAGAACAACTCAGAAAAGACGTCGCTCACTTGAAAGTGGTGAGTTGCTAGCCCATGAAGAGCAGAAGTAGGAAAAGCAATCAGTGAAAAATAAGACAAATTATTTCTCTGTCTTATTTAAGATGTAAGACATCTAAGACTGCCTTACATCTTCCTAGTGGTTGCCTTACTTGCTTCAATTCAACGCTTCTTTCTTTGCAGGTCTCCAGGTACCCCCATTTACAACAATTCTGAAGCTGGGATTACAATCTGTCACAATACAAACTGAATGAGGCCAGGTGGTAGGGTTCCCTGCAACAGAAATCTAATATATAGGATAGGACTGCTAAGCATAGGCAACTAGTGCATTTTGCATACCCTACGGTATCCTGCCAAGGGCTCAGCTGCCATTCCAGATGGCTGTGGGTCTATTGCACGTTTTGTGTCATATTTACCAGTCCCATGTTTAAGTAACAAGCTCTCACCTCAATATGTCTTTTACCAGTGAGAAAATAGTAAACTGGAACCAATGCCTTTAGGCAGTATCTCTTCATTACACTGCACTTTAACCAGTGATGATGTCCATAAATAACATGCAAACATTTCTCAAAATCACTCTCATTAAACCATTGTATTAGGAAAGAACCTCAGCTATAGAGAGCTAATTAAGATATGCTGTTTCTGACAACCCATGCACAGGGAATACAGACTATACTTGTAGTCACAGGTAACAGTCACAACATCCCAAGAACGCTGTGGAACAAAAGTGTAAGACTAATGAAAGCTCTTAGAACATTGTGGTCCAGTATAAGACCTAGATGCATTAATAGCTCTGTTTGGTGGATACAAAGAGGAAGCCGCCAAAACCAATGGCAAATCAGGGTGAAACGAAACACAGATCCAGCACAATACTCTATTTTCACAACTCCCCCCTTCATTGTCATAGTTCTACAATTACCCTATAGCACTTATTCATGGTTTGCTAATCACAGGATCCTCTCCAAGCAAGTCCCTTTACTCAGTTTCTCCAGTTTGAAGCTTTTCATATATATTCTTTTTTGCTTTCCTAGCTTCAATTTGCTCTAACCCATTTTTTGAGGCACCATGTTGAAGAAAGATCATGTGTACTTGATCCTTCTGCTGCTATTTCAACAGTTTTTAAAACTACAAGCAATGAATTATGTCCAGTAAGGAAATCATTGAAATCATAGACACTGTTTTTTCTCACAACCAATGACAGGAATTCAAATATATCCTTTCATTCCCTAGTTCCAGTTGCTGATCATGAATGGTGGGTTTTGCTGCAGTCCAATGGTGGTATCTTGAAAATACCTTCTGCTGATAATTTTAGAGGTACAGCCAAGTAATAGCAGCAATAGCTGTGAGATCAATAACATTTCTCCAAAACTTTGAAGACTTAAAATACCTGTTTGACTTCATTTATTTTAAATAGAAAAGTAATTATGAACATGATAATCAACCCATGCCCTTATAGAAAATAAAGAGACCTACCTTATTTCAAGAGACCTCTTCCATTTCCCCGTACTAATCAGTGGTGCATGTGGCATCAGCAGAAGAATGGGGCATCAAACCAGAGAGAAGTTGACGTCTACAGAAAATCTTACTTTCCAGGCCTGTAACATAAAGACAATGCACAGCTCTTTCAGAAACACTGTCTCTGTCAAAACATTGCACTGTGTAATTCCAAGATTATTATTGATCAATTCATCCCTATCAACTCTGATCTTTTAGAATGGAAAAAAAATAAATAAAAGACTGCACCACTCTTCAACCTGGCAAACTCAACTTGACATCTAAAGTTCAAGCCATGATTTTAGGGGTTATGCATCATCATCAGTAAACTTGATCAAGTTTATAAATATAATAAAGTGCCCATCTTTGAAAAACTGATTTCTGCCATTTACAAGTAAAGATGCTGTTACTTTGTTTATGAGCTTTCTTTTATTTGCCATGCATCCAGTATACAGAGGAATGTTGCATACCATGGCAACAGTTTCAAAATATGCAATAACTGTAGAAGTGTGAAGATAAACATTGTAAAGTTAGACATAAGTGAACTAAAGACGTTTATGTATGTCAAATTGAAGGTAATATTATTAGAATTTCATTAATTTTTCTGATAATGCATTAACCAAAGTGGAAACTGACTTCTGCTCCTGTATCCACGTGGGCTTGTATACAACCAATATGGACACACACAGAAAGGGAAGTGGAGAGGCGGAGTTGATTGTTAAAGAACAAGTTGAGACTACAAGGAATACAAACCCCATTAAAAATATATATATAGATAAAATTTATAAACATTATTTCCAGGCATTCTCTTTTCACAGTCACCAGCAAATTTTGAGCCAAATTCAAAATAGCTTGTAAACATGCATAACTTCAATAGAGTGGCAATCAAGTTTACAAGGGATTAATTTAATCTTTTATTGTATAAAGTACCAATGACATAATACATCCCTTACCCTCTTTCTTTGGAGTAGCAGAATTTCACTAGCACTTTATTTTTACTAAAGGTATGCAGCACACAGTTAAAACGTACCATTTTAAGGCAAGAAGAAAATGTCTTGCAACAAAGTGTCTTTCTGAGTTTGAAGCATTTTTAGTGACTGAAGACAGAAAATAAATATTTTCAATCTTTTGTTCTAAGAAGTTTGTAAACCAAGTGCCTGCCTGCAGAATGCAAATAGAATGTTTTCCTTATCATTGATGTATTTTATAATTAAATGATTATTTCTCCCAGGCAAATTTATTTTTCAATTGAAAGTAATACATATTTTAGGTACGCAAAAATACAAATCAATTGATTTCAATATAGTGTACATCCCTTTCATTAACCTCAACTGTTGAATTATGCCTGTATTTATCATGTCTGGGTATCTACTTATATGGATACATACGTGATTACAAGACCAAACTTCAAGAAACCCACAGTTCAAAACGTCAGCCATGTACATACTGTAGATGAGTAGGTCCAAACAAGGAAACAAGCCTGGCATGCTTCTAATTGGTTTTCTCTATTAGCATACACAGAAATCCCCACAGCAAAAGCCATGCACAGGTAAAATTATTGGGTTTCAACTACTTTTTGCATAATGTTGTTAACCCTTGAAATACATATTTTAATGCAATCAGGCACTGTCATTGTTGTGTTTGTTACGCATATTATAGAATACATTGAAATTCCAGTCCCTCAACTGGTAGTCATTCAGTACTCAATAGTTGCACCAAGATATGACATTCTCCTTCAATTCACATAGTTTCATCCTGGTGAGAAAAGGGTATATAACTATGTACCATAAAGGAAAAAACACATAATGAATATCTCTACAACTGCTTTGCATAACACAATGTACCAATTCACTTTCACAGTGGCGGTCAGTCTTAGTAACAGGCATAGGAGGATAACCTGAAACATCTACTGCTGCCCTAAAAAAAAATCAGGAGATAAGCATTTATGCAGAATGCTTGATACAAACTGTGTCAAGAACTCTGGTCGTATCTGCTTTAAATATGCTGAAATAGGGTTCCACCAACACTCTTTACTTCATAGCTGATCAAACGCGGTATTTAATACATAAATGATGAAGATAAAAAAGCCCATAGAATAAGAAATTATAAGGTATACTCAAAAACGTAAAGTATAAGTCTTTAATAAGCGACTATAGCACACCTGTCTCAAATCAACAGCTTGTGGAGGGTCACAAGTAGAGCTACAATGGAAAACAAAACTTTTGGTCCTAAAGCAAAACAAAATCAAACTCTGCGACGGACAACAGAACTCACGGGAGGGGAAAAAAAATACCAAAACAAAATCTTATGATACTGAGACATTATATGCTAAATGCCATCACAGTTCTTCTCTTGGATAGGGAATGAGAATAACTTCTTATTCAAGGTAAGTGTAATAGGAACACATTACTATGAAATATCAATGTCCTGCTGTCTTCCATAGTAAAGTATAAGAGTAAAAAATATACAATTACATAAAATCTGCATGCTAAAATAAACACATAAAATCTGAATTTGCTATTGATAAACTAAGAAAATATTTTTGAGCCATCTTTGGTTATTTCCAAGAATAGCTATGCTAATACTTTGAGCATCTTAAACTAATACCTCTTTGTTAGATAAAAGGAAATGTTTCTATACCTGTTTTTGTGCCACCATTACAGCTTTCTTGATGTATCATTTTGCTAAAATACTCCTTCAGAATTCAATGTGATGAAAGTAAGGGAACATACAAGAGCTGAGAGCTTATGAAATACAGAAAGTGAACCAAGGTGTTGTCTTCTCCCTTTTCCTTTCAAATGGCAATAGGCTAAGTCCTAACTTCTCTTTTTCATGTGCTATTTTGCCATTGTCTTTTTTTTCTTTCCCAACATTAAGAAACACTAGAAACCAGAATATGAATCACTTCCTCCCTAATCTTAACATTTTTGCACTAAAAACGATTACAGTGCACCAACACAACCTCCAAAATTGCTTGGGTAGTGCCATTTTGGTGTTTCTGAAGATAAGTCTGACAATATAACTACTGGCTAACCCAAGAAGCCAGCCACTAAGATAAAGACTTTTTTACTTCCTTATTTCACCAGTATTACTGCCTGAAATCCATTTTGGTTTCATCCAGAATGAGTTAGATTAGATTGCTGAATTTGCTTAAGGATACCTGTATTTATTAAAACTGGCAACCTAAACTTTTGAGCTGACTTTCATTAGATACCCAAGAATCCTGCAGGCAAAGGCTTAATGAAATTATACGTATTATCTTCACTGAAATATCACTAATTGGAGGAGAACAGATGCAACACTAGGCCTGCACAGTTAAAGATGACATTAAAAGTGGTCTGAATTCTCTTCCTCAGAGATGCATCCCCAAACTGGCACCCATCAAGATGTGACATCATTGACCTGAATTTATCACACCAACAAGCCCTCCATTCTGTTCTTTATTTTTGAAATATATACCAATTTCTTTCACTGACCAAGATCTAGATAGCTAAAGTACTATTTTTGACCTTCAAAGTCACTGGAGTTGATTTGAAAAGATGTCGCTGGTCCCCAAATCTTTGAACATTTTTGGAATGGAGCTCACAAGTAGAATTCTGAGGTTTGCAAGCATTTGAAAATATTTCCTAAATGTGCCAATTTGCCCTGAGAAAGGTCGCTTCTCTCGTGTCATTCAGTCAGAAACAGAAGTGCTAGGATTTTTTACTAAAGGTGTTTGAGCCAGTGTGACAATTAGAAAAATAATGAAGAAACTATATCTGGAATCATTTCTAGATAATATACTTGATTCTATACCTACCACAGTCTAAAGAAACAACAAAACTATTGACTCCTAGGACTACGCCTGAACAGTGGGGATTTTTTTCCCTTCTCATAAAGGACTGACAACTAATGTTCTTAAAATGGCAAGGATATTAACTATCTAAATACATTTATTACCCCTTCAGCCTTGTATTTTCTGTATTACACTTAAAGAATGGTTTATTGTTATAATTACTATAATTTAAAAATTAGAATATCAAAGACAGAGATGTTTCTTTTGCTGAACAGATATTAAGTGGGAGATTCACAAAAATGAAAAAAAAAAAAAAGGCTGGAAAGCTTCTGTAAACTTTGGGTCTATTTTCCTTTCGAAAACCTCCTCAGCAATTGTCATTTGTTGACATTCAGTTTCATGACAGCAGATTATTGCAGAAAATAAAGTTTGAAAATGAATTTGAAATTAATTTTTCATCAGCCACAGTTCTGGCACAGGGTATTTGTCACCCTAACAAATGTGTACTAGAATTAATCTTTATACTGTACAAGCCAGGAAGCTTCACAGTAGCTTCACACCAGAGCAGATCACAGAGAATTATCGGATTTATTATCCTTTTATTGATCTTCCTGAGACATTTGGATGAACTGACTCTGATAGGCTACTCCTTAGACATATTAGATAGATAACTTAACAAATTTCAGGGCAGCTGACCATGACCAGGTCAATATCTCACAGGAAGTTCTTGCTCATATATACCCATCACTTGCCAGGAGCATGTCTTTTCTGATCTACAGCTGTCTTCCGATAAACAAAACAGACTACAAACAGAGGAAGTTAAAGCACCCTAATTTTGTCTTTTGAATTTAGACTATATTTGTGGCTTAATAATATGCTGGTTTGCATAAATACTTTGAAAGATCTCCATTATTCTACTGTTACCTAACTATTGAAAGGAAATGCGTCTTCAGAGCTGAATCACTCTTACATTACCAATTTTTGCTTTTAAAAATGTCAACTTCTGACAAAATGAGCAGCCTTCTGCAGCATGTTTTATTTTGAACTGTGGAGCAGAACAAAAGGAAGGACATTTAGTAACTTTTTAAGAGGCTACGTGATCAAATCTGGCAAGGGAATGTGTGACTTACCATGGCAGATGCAAAACCTGACAAAATTGTTTTCTAACCATGCTAAATACATCACATGCTTCTGAAGTAGAGAAAAATTCCCTCCCTGCCAATCTCCTCCTACTGCCCAGGAATAATGGGTTCCTCCTATTATACCATTGGTCAGGAGCCTTTATACCCTACAGAGACCAAGGCTATGTCCAGCCTAGGACTATGC